CCTGCGGCGGCAGAGGCGGCGGCGGAGGACTGGTAAGTGGGTGAGTTGGCGGCGGCGACAGGCTTGTAGAGAGCAGCAGCAGCGCCGTCAGGACTGAAGTTCAAGCGCATGTTCTGTATGGCGGCCTGTGACTGCAGCGGACTCTTCTGCAGACCACCGACGCTGAAAGGCTCTCTACTCGTCATCACTCCTGTCTCAGATCCCGACATCTTTTTTTTTTCTTCTTTTTTTTTTAAAAAATTTAAAAATAATAATAATTATTTGCAGTTTTGCACTTGTACTAAAATCCCATCAAACCAGCCTCTGAAACACCATAAGAAAAAAGAAAAAAAAAAAAAAAGCTCAGTACAAAGAAATTTACCATTTCTCAGATCATCACAATTTACAAACCCTAATCCATAAACAAAACTAACCAAATTTAAAATGGTATTTACAAAATGATTATTCTTTTTTGTGGTATCTTAATTCTTAACCACCAGAAAAATAAAAAAGAAAAAAAGAGAAGAAGATGATGATGCTAGATTCCAAGTAAGCTCATTCTGCAACAAGTATCTAAACCCTAACTCTGACAACATACTTACCCACGAATCTGGGAGTAAAATCCAACCCCAACTGAACAACAAACCCTAATAACTGCGACGAGAATTACATTCAACTTACAGACCTGGTTTAAAAACCACCGGAGAATTTTACATTTGCTTCTTTTTTTTTTCAAATTTCAGCATAGATGATGCAAAATATTTTAATATTAAAGCTAAAACCAAACAAAAATCCGCATTTTATTTCCACCAACGAACAATTTGTTTTTAAAAAATAAATCTTTTATTTTTCGGAAATTCAAAGTAAAAGAATCATAAAAGAAAATACAATGAAAATTGAGGAAAATCGTAAAATAAGCCCAAAAAATACGTTCAACTTACCAATAATTCAGGAAAATTACGCCGACGCGGAAATTCTAGGGTTCCGGAACGAAAACGCAGAGCGGCTCCGAAGCCCTTTTTCTGAGAAATGCGAGAATTCTGAATTATTAGTTATATTTTAATTAGGATATTATATTTTCTTTTTATTTCGTGCCTTTCCGTCTACGGGCGTATATTAAAAAAGCGAGTAAAAGCCAAGCCCTAATTTGCTATTTTGCATTCTTACAAAAAATATATTAATAATTTAATTTGCATTTACTCCAACGCCTTCATTGCTATTTGCTTTTTTAATTGGGTCGACTGTCGACTGTGGCTTAATATTACTCGCTGTTACAATTTTAAAATTCAAAAACAAAGTTGGTTGCCGTCTACGTGGTCCTTCAAATCAAGCGAGTACATTGCATTTGCTGCTCTCAACCCGTTTGGATAACATTTCTTTTTGTCAATCTTGTGTTTGGCCCTTTCTTCTTTTCTTCTCTTTCCTTCTCTTTTCCTAAGTCCAATCTTTCATCACAGCTCTCATGAACGTTACTTGCCCCCATCTGCACTGCACAGTGCGCTTTGTACTTTTGTTTTGTCAAAAAATAAAAAGAATTTTTGCTTAGTTAAAAAATTATCCAAACTAAGAGAACTTTCTAACTTCACACATAATATTAGCAACCATTTGATAACCATTTTATTTTCACTTTTATTTTCACATTTTTTGAAAAATAAAAACTGAAAACATGTTTAGTAACAGTTTTTTATTTTCATTTTTCAAGTTTCCAGTTTTTAGCTTTTCAAATATGAAAATTGAAAATTGAAATGGTTATCAAACGGGCCCTTAATAAAATAGAGAGAATTTTTGCTAGATTATAAGCACTTGTTTAGAAGTGTTTATCTTATAACAAAAAACACTTAGTAGTGTGTCCTGAATGCTTATGTAGAAAGCATTTTTATGATCCCACCCAAAACAACAGCAAGTCCTCCTCCCCTTCTTATTGTCAGCCAAGCCAGTTTTTTAGAAGTGTAAGTTTGTGAAATCTGAATTGTTATTCTTCTTACTGTTGGAGGAAAGTTTATATACAACCAAGCTAACGTTACAATAGGAAATATATATAAAGGAATTCCTAGTCTTTAGGGATTGACAATTAATATAATTGACTGGAGAGATATAAACAGTATACATCGATTAGCTATAAATCAAGGATGCTGTCTAACACTCTCCCCCAAATCCGACGATGTGGAAGAGACGAGATTTGAACGAATGAATTGAAAACGATGCCTAGAAAGGCCCTTGGTGAGGATGTTAGCGAGTTGATTGGAAGAGAAAACAAATTGAACTCGGTGAGAGCCAGAAATAATGCGCTCCCGAATGAAGTGGTAATCGAGTTCAATATGTTTAGTGCGAGCATGAAACACCGGATTGGAAGCCATGTAGGTAGTGTTGAGATTGTCACACAACAATAAGGTTGGTCCAGAAGGAGGAAGCCCCAACTCATGAAGGAGATAAGAGATCCATGTAGTGTCTACACAAACATGAGCCTGAGAGCGATATTCAGCCTCAGTAGATGAGCGAGGAATTGTCGATTGTTTCTTAGCACACCAAGAAATAAGGTTGGAATCAAGAAACACACAAAAACCAGTGGTCGAATGACGGGTATCAGAACAACCAGCATAATCAGAATCAGAGAAACCACGAAAAAGCAAGGGGGTTCGGAGATCGACAAAAGGAAAGACCAAAACCAAGAGTGCTCTTCAAATAACGAAGAATGCACTTAGCAGCAACCAAGTTAGGAGAATGAGGAGCGCTCATAAACTGAGCAATATGATGAACGGCAAAGGAGATGTTGGGTCTAGTGAAAGTGAGATATTGGAGGGAGCCCACAAGCTACCTGTACTCAATTGCATTAGAAAGTAACTCACCATCAAGAGAGGATAGTTGACAAGATGCACAAATTGGAGTACTACAAGGGTTACAATCAATCATGAAATGTCGTTTGAGAAGATCAACAATATATTTGGTTTGTGAGAGAAGAAGGCCAGAGGTGGTAGAGGTGGCTTCAAGCCCCAAGAAATAAGAGAGAGAACCCATATCAGTAAGTTCAAACTCTTGACCAAGTGTAAGAACAAATGAGGAGATTGAAGGAGATTGTGTGATCAATTCGGTAGAATAACACTTCTTAAATAGACAAGAGAATGAGATGACCTACATGTTTGAAAATAATTGAATGAAGATAGGAAAAGATAGGGAAAGATAAGGAATCCAATAAAGTGAGATGAACAAAGATGAGCAATAGTTCAGAACATGATTGAAACAAGACAAGATGGGAAATGGTTCAGAAAATAATTGAATGAAGATATGAAAAGATAGGGAAAGATAAGGGAATCCAATAAAGTGAGATGGACAAAGTTGAGCAATGGTTCAAAACATGATTGAAATAAGACAATAGGGGATGGGAAAGGGTTCAGAAAATAATTGAAGAACACAAGTGGAGGTGGGCAAAAGTTCATAACATTATTAAATTAGAATAAAGGAATCCAATGAAGTAAAAGTAAAAATGTAAGACAATTATGACAATGGCTTCAATGAAGGGTTCGAATTATTCCGGGCACACGCAAAAGTAGCAACTCCAGGGATTGTTGTCGCTTAAAAAAAATCATGTGGTTCCATTGCTTTTAATATAAATCATGTGCTACTTGTTTTTACTTTCAAAGTCCATGAAATAAAATGTTGTTGTACTTGTTTTTATTTTTAAGTGAAGTTCTATTATGTTTTGGAATTTTAATTTTTTTAGGTTAAAATGTTAGAAAATTAAATCACGACTGTTGAAACAAAAATAATGTTAAGAAAAATTAACGAGAAAAAAATTTAGGGGTTAATTATTCTTAAACAATTTAATAAAGTTGCGGACTCAAATTATGAGTATGCAAGATTAGAGAAAAAAAAAATTTGAGTCCTGAAAATATATGAATAGTTGTATTTTGAAGGATGGAAATTTAAGTTTAGCCCTAGTATAGTTGGAGATGGCGTAACCATACAAAGTGACATAGTTGGAGAGGTTTATTTGTCTCTTTTCAAAATATCAAGAAGGTAGAAAAGAAATAATGGCCCACGACAATATAGCTGAAAAAAATGAAGTAACTAACAAGGCAGGCAGAAGGCAATCTGAAAGGCATGGTGTGCGTTGCGTCTTCGTATTCTCTGCCCCTGCTGCGACCTCTGTCGAACAACACAGGTCTTTCCGGTCACCTCAGCTCCACACCCATATGGACCCTGAATTTCCCCACTTAACTTTACTCTTGGCAGGTCAGAATTAATCAGCTAAAGTTGTTGCTTCTCTGTTTCTTCAGGCATCGCCATCTGTAGAAAAAGCTACGTGCAATGTTGCAGAAACAAAGAACCAGAACCAGAACCAGAATCATGGTATATATAAAGCATCATCACACTCAATTTCCCTTTAGGAAATATATAGCATGATTCCTTTACATCACATATCCTTTTGTTTTCCAGTTTTGGCATTCAATGTCAAGCCAAGAGAAGACAAGTTTTGCTTGGGACGACGTTTGCTGCATTTTCGTTTCCGGAACTTATTTCAAAGGCGTTGGCAGAGAATGGTAACATATAGTTGATCATCTCTCTCCCTCTCCATATTGATATTGGTAACTCAGTTGAATTTTAAGAATTTTCTTGGAGTTTGTTAATCCAGATGTGGCTGAGGGTTTTCGCATTTACACTGATGATGTGAACAAATTCAAGATATTGATTCCTCAAGGTGAATCTAATTTTCTATGTAAAATTTTGGTTTCCTTTAACCCACTAGACCTCAAGTTAATATACTGAATGCTTTAGTATTTTGGTTTTGGAGACTGGCAAGTAGGTGCTGGAGAACCAACTGGGTTTAAATCAGTAACCGCTTTCTATCCGGAAGAGGGATATAGCTCAAGTGGGTAATCTCAATCTCATTTGGACCAATCTTGTGATTTTTGGACTTGGTTATATATAATTGCTCTGTGTGCTGCTTCAGTTAGCGTTGTGATCACGGGACTTGGTCCTGATTTTACAAAGATGGAATCCTTTGGCAAAGTTGAAGCCTTTGCTGAGACTCTGGTAGGTAGTAGTAGCTAGGCGCTTCATTTCTCCCAGTTTAATTACTTCCTGCTCATTCGAAATGCGAACGAAGCTTGTTAATTTGCTCATTAATTTTGCATTAATCTTTTGTATGGTCTTCAAACATAGGTTAGCGGATTAGACAGGAGCTGGCAAAGACCAGCAGGAGTGACAGCAAAACTTATAGATTGCAAAGCATCAAAAGGTATTGGCAGGAAGCATCACTTAGTTTACCAACTTAGGAAGATTGTTCATAAAATCGTAATGATTTGAAATTGATGATGATGATGATGATGATCAGGGCTTTACTTCATCGAGTATTCGCTACAAAAACCTGGTGAAAGTGTGAAGCACCTGTTTTCAGCACTTGGGATGGCAACAAACGGCTGGTACAACAGACTATACACTGTGACCGGACAGGTAATTGCAAGTTGCCTCCACTAGAAACTATACACTAGATAGATAGATATGCAGAGAAAACTTCATTTTAATTTCTATATTTGCACTGTGTTCTGGAATCTGGATCCCTTGTTTCTTATAATGTTAGACCTGCCAACCTGCAATGCTGACATTGCAATGTTTTGCTGCAGTATGTAGAGGAAGAATCAGATAAATACAGTTCCAATATTGAGAAGGTGAGTTTCAAACTAAAAGTATAGTTTGGCAGAGGTTAGACTAGACACTTATCTAGGACGATACACCAGACTGACGACGTTTTGTTTGGTTTTGCAGGCTGTCAAATCCTTCACGTTCATTTGACAAATAACCTCCAGGCTCCAGGCAGAGTTTGAAACTTTGGATTACCAGTTTTGGTTGGGTTAATTTTACACTCAATATTTTGTGGTAATCTAATGAAATACATTTCAATCAAACATCTAGCTGCCAAGAGAAGATTGCTAAATGTATACAGATTGCGTATTTGACGACGGATTTAGTTGGATATTATTGTAGCAGCACCTTCATTTGATTGGAAATTTATAGTTTTTGCTATGCATATCTGCGTTTGGAAGAGCAATAATCCTAGCTGATGCTGCTAAATACCCAGGGAACTGAAGTTGAACCTATCTAATATCGGTTTTGAGCCCCAACCGTATTTTTTTTAGGTGAGACCCAAGGGTATCCACCGCCGACAACAGTGACTAATCCCTTTCGCCGCGGGAGCTCTCCCAATGGAGGTAGACGGCTGGCCACGAAATGCGCTCCATTCCCATGGGCGGGGATCGAACCCCCAACCTCATGGTTAAGAGCCCCAACCGTATTAATTATATGAAACAACATGCATAATGTATCGAATATGATACAAAAATTTATAGCTTGGGAGCTTGACTCTATTCTTCTGTGTAATAACAGGTTCAACAAATCAAAACCCTAAACGAATGTATCCACATGCCTCGTGTTCAAAAATCAGGCAGATTTTCAAGTTGTATTCTCCTAGAAACGCCTATAAGTGCCACTCAAATATTTCCAATTGAATCAAATCCTGGTAATTAATTTGGAGGAGTCCCTATGGCAACTTGGGGGCAGCGGTTTTGTTTTCCTTTTTTGTTCTCCTTTTCTGCTTTAGAGAGGGGAGGAGAGAGAGGAAACTAGATGGACAGTGTTTTGAACCTAAAACTAGATGATTATAAACATGCATAAACTACGGAAAATCAATCTGTTTGTATATTCTTCTCCATTCCTTCAGTTTTTTGTGCACAAGTTTTATGAATTGAAAGTGTTAGCTTATCAACAAAGAGCATGTTTTTCAGTTGCTCCAGTTTTTGCCGTTCTTTCTCCATCTGTAAATCTAACTCCTCAAAATGAACAATCTTCTCTTGAATCTCTTTCATCTGCAAACCTTCTGATGGTTAGAAAATAGTTTACAACTAGAGAAGAGTACCGTACTACTAACCCCAGAATTTCACATACCTGCACCTCTGTAATCCCAGAAATTGCTCTCTCCACATCCATCCCTTCCTTTTCGAGCTGTGAATTTGCATCTACAAAAGCACCTCCCAGTTCATCTAGGTTGGTGTCCCCATTGGATTCATCATTCGCTTCTGCGTAAGAAAGCAAGCCATTATTCTACTTGGAGTTTGATGGTCACAAAATTCTCTTCACCAAGTAAATTTATAGGATTGTCCTCCCAGTGCTAGTAAATTCAATATTTTAGAAAATCCCATGACAGGTTCGGGTCCATGTGCAATAAACTAATTGAGCATTATGCTTGAGCAGAGTTTTTAAGAAGAAGCACACCATGCTGTCTTGCATTCCAAGCCCGAGATCCTAGACTCAGTCTACTTGTTTCATAATCCGCCTCACAAAGGGTTGTTACAGCAGCACAAGCAGCAGCTTTTGCAACCTCTACACCTGCCAAAGCTGACAGGAAGGCTGCCTGAAAGGAAAGAGAGATGATACAAAAATCAATGTAACCTGAATTTTGCAAAATAAAAAAATAAAAAGAAATTTCTGGGAACACATTTACGCAAGAAATGAGAAGTCACATGTATTATTAATTAAAGAAAATAAATCAAAACTTATTATATGCTCAAGGTGACCTAACGAAAATATGCTTTGTGCCTTTTCATTTTAGAACTTTACTCAGTTCACTAAGAGAAAGGCAAGGGAACTTTTTTCTACTTGTATTACCTGAGCCATTATTGGGTTGCTTGCGTCTGCAAGAGGTGTGAGACGCATTCTTTTACTTGGGAATGGTGTACCATTACTCTCCATTCCAGATTCGGAATCTACAGAGTCTTTGAAATTCCCAGAATGGAAATCAGCAATAAATTCTTCACCGAAAGGAATTTTAATGAAATGAGTGATGCATTCCTTCTCACTCCGACCGACATGTTGTGCTACCTTCCTCCAATCGTCACCATAATGCATGAGAGCTTCTAGAAGATGCAAAGTATCTTTATATGCCCAATCACTCCTCGTCTCTTCATTGATCTCAACCCTCCTGAAATCTGAAGAAGTTACACCAATCTGATAATTCCCGCGAACATAGCACCTTGCACAGAGAGTCATGTCATACTGGTACCAACAAGGAATGAAAAGATCAGTCCCAGGAACCACAATGAGATAAAATGTTACATGCAATGCAACTGCCCACGCAAGGGCAGAGCTACATGTTAGCTGCCCTGGACTATAGCCCAGTGCAACCTTGATGCAAAATACTTTTTACAGCACAATATTTTAGGATATTGCAACTCTAGCCTACCAATCTATGTAGTTTCTTCATTTTTACAGCTAGCTAGTACACAAAACCCATATTTTTCTAACTTTTTTAAGCCCAAAAAATTCCAAAGTAGCAATTCCCAATGTGGCTTATCTTTATTTTTTCAATTAACAAAATATTAGCCCACCCTTTTGAAAAGTTCTGGCTCCACCCTTGTGCCCACAAGTATTGTGAAGTGTCACACATATGACTTAGAAAAGTGGGAGTGCCCAAGTTTATTTATGCAATGCAGATGTGAGGACAATATGACATATTAAGGGATTGCAAGACACCTACATGACAAAATCATGCTTCAGTCAGTCTGTTAATCAGTTCACTTCTATAATAATGATATCAAAAGAATGATAGACCTTTTCAGAAACAAAGCAGGCAATGCTACAAAGAGACTTGCAACCATGGCACACTCTCTTCTTGGGGCTCTCCTTGTTGGGAGTGGAAGAGTCCTTAGGACAACCTGTGGGGGATTCAGCGACCGGAGAGGCAGCCTTGCTGTCCTTGTCCTCCCACCTAAGGGGCTTGTTGAGCGCGGAGGAGTAATTGATCAAACCCCAAACCTCAAGAAAATCAAAAACCCTGCGAATGGAGCCAACATCACCAACGAGAGTCTTACGGGCATCAGTGAAGGTGAGCTTTCGGGCAGGGTTGTCCCTGTACTGCTTGATGATGTTGTTGCGATAGTACATGTAAAGCCTAGGATTCTTGGAAGGTGAGTGAGAATCGAAGAACTCTGGGAGGAATTGAACTTCACAATGGTGGATATGGTCCCATGAGAACCACCTGGAATAGCTAGGTACATGTACGATATGAACGTCTGAGTTAGCAGGTGGTTGAGGAGGGCGTGGAGTGGCTGGAGTCTCGGGCTTGACAGAGATTGGAGAAGGATTGGGTCGGCATGGAGTGTCAGATGAGAAGTCTTGGACTACTGATTTGGTCGTCATGGGGTTACAGCCCTGAGCTTCTAAGTTCTATAAATAAAAAATGGATGTGCTGAGCTTTGAGTCATCTCTAATTGTCCATTAAGTCTTCTTATATATATTTAACTTGATATAATGTATTTAGATTTCCAACGTCCATACATAAGCAATGGTTCTAACAAAAAGGCTCGACAGAGCTGACACATTTTCTGGAAGAAGGAAGATAAAAAACTGAAAAGGAAAATACTCAAACATAGACTTCGAATTTCTTCAAAACACCCATTTCTTTTCTATAAGATCAAAACAGATGGCAAATAGCAAATCACAAAGTAGGTACCAAATTTAAAGGAAAAAATTTCACTTCATATATGTGGGTTTCTTATGATCTGCGGACCATTCAACGGGGAAAAAGTAACCACTAGCAACGAATTGACAAAACACAACCCCTGTTTTCTTTTAAACATTCAAACATTCACTGACCAAATACATAAAGGAAAGTTTCAATGCATATTGGGAACCTCATAAACCATTATCCACAAAAACGCACAGGAGCACAATAATCACACAACAACAACAACAAAATCAAACCCATACCAGAAAACCAATAAATAAACAAACAAACTGCCTCAAAATCAATCCAAAACAATAAGCCCAAAAGAAACAAGGAACAAATAAGAAAACCACAGCCCGAAAATGCCAAAAAAGAAAAGAAAAATCCTAAGCAGAAATGCCTACTCTACCAAAAAATCAAGACGTACAAAACACAAAAATGGAAAATTTAATGAGATAGGAACTTACCGTCGAATAAATGATATTTCTAATGAGAAGACTCGATGGTTTGAGAGTGAGAGCGAAGAGATGGGATGGTTAAGGTACTAGAGAGTCGATGGAGTTGAGATTGTCAGAGAGACAGAGTGAAACGTTTCAGGAGCTCAGTGAAACACCTGGAGAGGACGATGAAGAAATAACATGTTTCGATCAATTTCACAAAATAATAAGGGTAGTATCACCATTTCAGAAAACAATAGGGGTACTGTTGCCATTTCACACAAAATAATTACCCGGAGCGAGGAGCATTGCTTCCTCTTTTCTTTTTTCTTTTTTTCTTTTTTTCTTTTTTTCTTTTTTTCGTGAAAAAGGAGGTTAACACCCCAAAAGCAAACTAAACAGACTCGAACCAAATCAAACGGGTTCAAGACACCCCTAACACATCATCAGCTAATAAGGAGTAAAGCCTTCCCTTGACCCAAACTAGCAGTAAAGCCTTCAACCCAATCCCTGTTATAGTTACGAAGTACCCTTCCAGTCCCAATAGTGCCACTAGAAAATCTCCAAGAGCCATCCACATTCAGTTTGAACCATCCCACTTCAGGTGGAACTGGAACCCAAGCAAAAGAAACCAACACTTTCAGTTTTTGAGGTTGAGACACATAAGCATGCAATAACCACTCCTTAGCAGCTTTCAAAATAATATTTTGGCAAAATTGTAGCAATAGTCCCTCAAATAAGGCCCTATTTTATTTTCCGTCTCTTTAACCTCAAAAATTGTTATGGTCGTCTTTCAATTAGATATCGTGTTGCATCATTGGTCATTCAGTCAATTTTGTTAGATTTTCTGTCAAAATTAAGGGCAAATTGGGAAATTCATGTCAACTATTTATTAGATAAATAAACTATTTAAAGAAAAAAACCACTGACACTACCCAAAAAACAGCCACTTTATCCCCATCCCCACTTACCCAAATTTATCATCGCAACCACCCACCTCAACTCAACAGCTTCCACCTCTACGCTTTTCCCTGCATCACCAAGCTCAAGCTCAGCACCACCAGGCTTAAACCCATCAAAATGAGCAAGCCCTCTTCCAACCCACCCACAGTCGAGAGATTGGCCACGATATTCTCTCTCAGTTTGATTACTGCATCCCTGTTTTGGGTTGGTACAATTCTATATAAAATTGAATTTTTGGAATTTTTTTTATTGAACTTCCCTTTTTCATTCTTGAATTGTTGTTGATTGGCTTCGTTCTATTTGGACATTAGTGTTTAGTTCTCAGATTAAGAGGCTGGGTTGCTAAGGTAAGGGAGGGTCGTGTGATTTGGCTGAGAATTAGTGAGTGTAGTAACTGGGTAAAAGTCTTATTTGACCATGTGCATCACATGTGGATGGCTTGCGAGTGGTGCAACGCGATATTTAATTAAAGCACCATTATAACAATTTTTAAAGTTGAGGGATAAAAGTAAAGTAGGGCCTTATTTGATGGACCATTGCTACAATTTAGCCTAATATTTTAGGGGCAACTCCTCACTATTAAAAACACAATGATTTCTCCACTTCCAAGTATACCAACAGGTAAAACCAAAAATTGTATTCCAAGGTAGGCCTGCACAACCTTTGTTCTTATTAAGCATATTGCAGGATAACCAAGGCTGCAAATTGTTGGGGTCTTTTTGTTGAGAGCTACAATGGGCTTGTTGGACTATTGCGAAGTAGATCGGGCTCTCTTGAGCCCTTGTCTGAGTTTGCAGCACGAGATCCTAAAACACCCCAAAAAAGTTGAGACCTTAGGGAGTGCTTTGGTCTTCTTCAATGGCTCTTCAGTACATTGAAAGTTTTGATGAGAAAGATACATCAGCTACTATTAAGCTATTGCTTGATGATAGAGGTAGAGCAGACGCTAGAAGGGGTTTGCTTGAAACATAGTGGAACAGGTGTTCCAGCAGCTGCTACTTGTTTGATTGGGCTTCTGGCAACTTGACAAATGCTTGGTCGCTCCTTTTGGATTTCTCACCAAAATGGGGATGCCATGATTTCAACTTGACGAATGCTTGGTCGCGCCTTTTGGAATAGGGTTTTTAGAGAGAGAGAGAGAGAGAGAGAGAGAGAGAGCTTGGATTTCTTATGGAAACAAAGGTTCATAGCAAGGGGAGAGGGAGATTTGGGAAGGTTTGATTAGGGAAGAGAGGAAGGGTGGCTTGAGAAGATTCTTCCAGCCGCTTGACAAAAGCTTCGTCGCGCTCTGGATGGTTTTCTAGAAGAGAAAAGAAGAATATAGGAGAACATGGCTTGGAATTGAAGGTTCTAGCAGTGAGTGAGGATGCTTGCTTGCTTTGGATGTCTCCCTTTGCTGGGTAGGAGATCCCCCCTTTTATAGGCATTGGAAGCTCTAATTTTACCAAGTAATCCTCTCCATTTTTCTTCACTCTCTTCCATTCAATCCTATTTAGTGAAACCTCCCCAATTCAAGTGCATAGGGATGGAGCCTTTTGGGTTCCAAGGTTTTCCTACGGCAGGACTCCTTCATTTTGGGTGAGGCGCCTCTTGCTTTCTCCCTGGTTTTTCCTACCAAAGCTTGATAAGAAAGGAAATGGGTAAGACTGCTGGTCTAAAGGGTGTTTCATTTCTAGCAGCCTGTGGGCACGTGGGTTTGCCTTGGTTTTGACAAGATGCTGGATATTTTGACTGATGTGGGATATTTCCAAGTGTTGTGGGTTATGGCTATTGGATATTTTCTAATGTGTTTGGGCCTTTTCTTAAGGTGATGGGCTATTGGATATTTTCTAAGGTGTTGGTTCATTTTTTCTCTCTTATGCTTACCCATATGTTTGGGCTCAAGAAATGGGCATGAGTTTTGGTGCTCCCAAGCAGCCTAAAACTTCCACTCATCGGTCCATCAAATGGGCCTCATGAACACTCATGACCATCCTTACCACAACCCGCTTAGCAAGCCCTAGCCATTCGCGTGGCTTGGGCCCACTTAAGCTTGTAGCGTGACTTGGTGCCAAAATAAAGGTTTTTCGCTTGGCGTGGCAAGTTGCTTGGCGTGTTTGTGCTCGAGCTTTCCCGTATTGCAGTGGGCTATAGCCGGGCTAAATAGTGCTTGACGGGACAGTAAGCACGGGTTCATAGAACCAGTACATTTTACAAGCTTGTTACGACCTCTCTGCATGGCGAGTTGCGTGTTTGCTTAGCATGACATGTGGACCATAACTTGCGCAAGCATATACGACAAATTCTTGCATACCCAAGTCAGGCTTCTTTCCCTGTTAAGTGTTGTATTGGGCTAGAAATATATTTGGGCCAAGCCTTGGATTTTTTGGGCCTCAACACAAATCATGCTGGAAGAAATGAGGGACTTGCAAAGGAAGCAAAATAGCTCTCGATACCTCTTTAGCTTGTGGGCACTCTCTTAGGATATGAAGAACCGTCTCTCAACTACCACTACAAATGTTGCAAGAGGGATCCAAAGTAAGTCGTTTATACCTATGCTCATTAGAAAGAATTTTCCCTTAGCAAACCAACCATAAGAAGAACTTTAGTTTAGGGGGGAACTTTCAACCTCCAAAGATGTTCCCAAAAGGGGTCGCTCCAGCCATGCATAGAAACCAACAACTCATAAGCAGTTTTAACAGTAAATACCCCATTTGCCGTAGGTCGCCAAATTTGAATGTCCTGCAAATTGCTATTAAACCCAACAGGCGTACCAATCACTTTCTGGACAAGCTCATCAATAAGAGCATCACGAAGCTATGTAACAAGGGCTCCTCAGTGACCCAGTGATCCTTCCAAAACTTGATCATATCACCTTTGCCCACTCTCCATATCACACCCTGCCTAAAAAGCTTTGCCCCATACAGAATCCCCCTCCAAGTAGAAGAACACCCTTCTTTTTTCTTTTAAGGAAGGATCCATTATGGACTGGCTTTTTAAATATTTGCTCTAAAAAATATTTGCCCTAAAAAATGTTTGCACATACCCCTTGGTCCTTACAATTGAGGCGCCAACCAGTTTTAGCCAAGAGAGCTTGATTCATAGCAGTTAGTTCTCTTAAATCCCAAACCACCCTTAGTTTTAGGGCGACAAGCCAAATCCCATTGACATAAATGAATTTTCAGTTTCTTGTCATCCTCTTTTCTTTTCAACTTAACGCACCACTACAAACTTTTTTAGAACATTCGGTCCAAAAGAAAAAACCTTTTCAGAACATTCCCAAATTCGAGTCCCCCAGTTGGTGTGGACAATGAACTCACCCCCTTCTAACCAAGTTCAAGTGCCCTTCTCATATTGACCATAGCTTATATTAAAAAAAACAAAAAAACAAAAAAAAACAAAAACAAAAAAAACCAATAAACTCGCCCTCTTCCCCACAAGTTCGAGGCACCTCCTAGTATAGACTATCGCTTATATTTAAAAAAATAAATTTAAACTTTCCAACTACCATGAGTGGACATCTATGCAGCTGTGCTAAGAATAAATGTTCTTAATCAATTGAGCTACAAGCCTCTTGTCCACTATCCTAACTATCCTACTCGTTAGCCCTTAATCCAACACAAGATCAAGTAGTGAAAAACACGCATATTTCTTCACCATCACAAAGCAACACTTTAGTTGCCCTTTATGTCCCAACTGCTGAATGCATGTGACTTGTGAAGAGTGAGTCCACTTGGCTTGTCTTTATTGGACTTGGTTGTCAAAACATTGCATTTTCTCAAGTAGCACTTGTAAATATCAACATCAGCCATCTAGTTTCAGATGGAAACAAAACAAAGTGGAGAAATCTTTCCACTGATTAATAAACTCCACATCCTTCAAATCAGAAGGATCAATATCAATAGACGAGACGAGTTTTACTATATCAGTACAAAAAAATTCTCCTTTCCAAAGAAATAGAATACACCTGAAGCTTCTCTCCTTGTGAAGCCAGGCACTCGAAATTATATAAACTACAGGGGCTTTAGTTTTCAGCCGAAATCCTAGCACTATTATGCACAACATTTGAACCACATTACAATTATGGACCAACCAACACACGACACCAGAGACTATACACCCAAAATGTTGGGGCAAGACTATATAAAAGAATCATATGTTGATTCTAACATGACTTTTTACAGAGATTTTTTTATTCCTGTATGGCTGCTAGAAACCTGATTCCAGCACCCTCCAATCAATGACACCCCCCGCCACTTTTCCTGAGTAACGGAAGTAAAAAGGTTTAGATGCACCGAGGATAAACGTCCTACAGCGAAGAGCAGCAGGTTTCCTCCATCCTTCTCTGCCATTTGGAGCGACTCAGACATCTGTTTTCTCTGGTGAGCATGACTACGTATGACCTGCGGAAAAATGAATTGTATAAGACCGAGGCATAAATCTAGAAAGAAGTAAACCTTGGGATGCCAGGGCTTGCAATCATAAATCATAATCAGACTGAAGACACATCCAGATCAACAACACAAATTCAAACTGGCAAAAAGAAATTCATGCTTAGGTTGGGTAATGAAATCCAGCATGCAAACAAAATGCTCCAACAAGAATTACTATCTTTATTATTTACAATCATTGAGTAAGCACTAGAAGAGCAATTTCATATCTAGCTAAACAACAGTGTAGAATCTTATTAGGTGAAGAACAGGAGACTACTAATGGCAATGGAAAACCACAAACATTTGCATATAGGTTACAAATTAATTAATATTACAACAACAATCTAGTAATCATTCCATTAAATTGATTTGGACGCCGATCTCCAACCTAGACCATGAAACCGCATGATCATCAGTTGGCCATCAAAGGTATCCTGAGAATATTATTAATTCAACTTGCCTTGCTCTTTCCAGAAAAAGTCTGTATAATCAGAATTTACAGAGCTCTTGCTTAACCTTACACATGTAAAGAAGATGACAAAATTTACCTCTAGAATGCAAAATAAAATTTGCAAGGCTAGATCTGAAGCCCGCCACTTAAGTAGCAGTTCTGCTGCTCTTAGTCCTGCTGCAATCTAAGGATACCTGCAAACAATATTAAGAAAACCTCAGAGCATTACCATACTAGTGGCAGGTAGATGCCTTTTTCTTTCTTTTGTTTTTCTCCGAGAAATAGATATAGAACTGACTGAACAAAATTCTATCCTGATGTGGGACTAACCTCAATCAACCCCTCACCCAGCTGTTTGCTCAGAACCACTACCCTGCATATATTGGGGAGCAGAAACTATAAAATGTGGTTGTGCCGCAACACTTGCTACCATACCTGATAAAAAATCATAGCACTTTTCCAGTTAGGTTTACCTACATGCTACATGGTGTATTGATCTAGATGAAAAATCTATCTAGCTGTCTTTATGTCTCCAGCAGGAGACTTCAAAGACTGCTTTACATTTGCTAAATTTCTGTTCTTCCATATTCTTTCTCTATTCTATAAACTTAAAAGGATATAAATCTAAGACTTTCAGTATCTGTGTTTAGGAAGAAAAAATGCAGCCCCTTTCCTCGCTAGTATTGAATTTAATCTTTCCTTGCTAAATAAACAAATCATTCTGTTATGTTTTACTGTAGACAGGCTGAGCCATGTAGGACAAATAAAAATGGGCATAAAAAAGAACTAGAATCTATCATGATCTGCCATCATTTTAGATAGTCTGATCAAGCCAGAGTGGTCAAGCCTCAGATTTTTTTAATGTCAAAAAGTATGAGCTCTACTAGGTGCATGTTGGTGGCACAAAACTCCACTAACATTATATTGAAAGAATAAAGAAAAATTTCAGGACATAAATGTACCTGTAGGATATGGTGCTTGAACTGTAGGCACTGGGGTAGTTGTAACTGCATTAACACTGGGTCCACCAAATTGGACTATCTGCTGAGCAGGCATTGCATATCCATGAACTGTAGGATAACCCTGACCACCAGGTATTGTTTGACCCAGTTGTCCATAAGGATAAAGAGCAGCATTAACCGTCCCTGGAACTCCATACATCTGAAGATATTGCTGACCCGCATAGGGGTTGTAAACACCCTACCAAAGAAATGACAACACAATTTTGGGAGCAAGTCAGCACATACAACAACATAATATCCACATTCATAAATCCAAAGAAAATACATCCACAATTGTGCTGCCACTTAAGAACATTACTGACCTGTGAATAAGTGTATTCAGGTCCATAAGTTGCATACCTGCATGTACAAAACAACCATTACAAGTTTAAATTTTAGAATTTCTATAGACAGAACATGGATGAGTTAACGTCCATCTTCATCAAAATGAAAATAAAATTATACACATGACACTGCATTACACAACATAAGACACCACTACAAATCCATTACAATGCAAGGACCAAGGTTTCGGGCTAAACTACAGGCTGAAGTGCTCCAGCACACTGAATGAGCAAACTCATGTATGAGATCAATCAATTAAATGGCAAGACTAGGAAACACAATTCTTGGTCCTCATTAAAGCCACCAATCCTAAGTTTTGCCTGTCCAATAAATATTAATCTACATATCCTCCACAACTACCAATTTCATTTCCTGCATTTACCAATCACACCATGTCACACCATCGTAGTCTAGACAAACGAACCATGATTACTAAGGGAATGACTAAGAATCTCTATTATTGAATGGCATTGCATGCTGTAATTGCCACATGCCACACAAGAAAGCATGGAAGAGAGAATAGTTGCTAAAAACAAAGTACCCAAAATAACTCAGATGTCACTAATCATTCCATGATCAACCCAATTAATATCAAACATTGAAAACATACATACCAGTCAGCTAATAGTACACAATTAAACAGAACTCTGTGGCATCATCAAATCTTATAAAAAGAACAGTAGTGGTTCTCAAAAAAACATAAGCACATGTGGGAACTGACATGCTTAAATGAAAGAAACGTACACTTAAAAAATAAAGAAAAGTTAACTATGTGCCTACCACATAATCCTACACATAGTAAAGTAGTGGTTTTAAAGGCACATAAGCGCATATGAGAAACGCCATGCTAAAACGAGAGAAATGTGCATTTAAACAAAACACAAAAAGACTTCTACTTGATGTAGATGCTGAAAATATCTCATCATCGACTCAAAGTATATTTTCCTTGATTTACTGAACAAGAAATTTGAGCAAACTTATGAAATGGTAAAAGAAGAAACTTGTCAGCAGAGCAATAACATTTAAGTATTAATGAATAGCCCAGAGCAGTACGTAATCCAACTTTGAATCGTTCCAATAACATAATATTCTCTCAACGATTATTAGATTGATTTGATACCTTAAACCCAATTAACCTGAGAAGACTCTGTATCGTAGTTTACAGATTATACAATTAAAAACAAGCTTTAAATGCACAACTCACCCATAATTAGGATACATTAGCCCTTGTTGATAGTTGTAAGGAACAGGTTGCTGGTAGCCATATCCTCCAATGTAAGCCCCTCGGGTAGCTTGCATGCTTCCAATGTATGGAGCAGCTGGTCTCGGGCGCCCTGCAAGTAAAAATTGCAAAGTACAATAAGCAAATTTCAGTACTAGGAGAAAGGCTAGGCTAATATGCACAAAAATAACCGTTAGAAGTGAAATGATGGAATCACTCATGAGCATAGTTCTATTTTCTTCAAATCCGTGGAGGATTTTTCTGCTCAAAATAAATAGTGCAAATACAATCATCACCCAACACAATGAAGTTTCAACTGAGCAAGAAATGGGAAACTACAAAGCGGGAACTTTTGGATAGTTATCCATCCAACAGACTGGGAAACCATACCATAATGCATAGGTGGCCTCGGCCGCCTGAGTGAAGCCAGATTACAATTTGCCCGCCTGCCATCGATAATTGGAGTTGGATCGGCACAGGCTCGTGCAGCAGCCTCTGGTTCTCGGAAAGTCACCTAAACCCTCCATGTAAATACAAACAGAAACCAAGTCATTTCTAAAGTCAGACAGAACACATCCTTGATTCTTCATACAAAAGGCGATTAGATTGCATGTGCTTCGCAGCTAACTCAAACTCATATTCATTTAGAAAAAACGAATAAAAATGAAGAATCATACAAACCCAAAAACTGAAAACAATAATAAATACTCACAAAGCCATAGCCTTTGGATCGGCCTGTGTTCTTATCGGAAATAACAACGGCCTCGAGAATCTCTCCGAACTGCTCGAAATAGCGGCGCATAGTGTCGCTGTGCGTCTCCCAGGCGAGCCCCCCAACAAAGACCTTGGTGTAGGTCGTGTCACCAAAAGGGGAATTCTGGAACTGGAACCCAGATGGGCCGGAACTGGAACTCGACCCAGAACTCGGATACGCCATGAATGACAGTTGTTTTTAGCCAAACAGAGTAGAACCCAGATAGCCAGATAGCGGCAGAGGAAGACTCGGAAAGGAAAGAAGGAGAAGAAAAGACGACAGAAATAGAGAGGCTAGTAGAGTTGATAGCAGTAGGAGATGGTAAAGCCGACCCAATAGATAGAGGAAGGCAATAGTTAAAAGAAAAACCCTAGCAAAAACCCTAGATTTGGTGGGAGATATACTGGGGATCCATTGAATTTTGGTAGGAGATTCGTGGGAACAGGGGATGGTCAATTTTGGCAGGAAATAAATAAGGAGGCACACAGTGATTTGATTAAATTAAACCCCCAATAAACCAAATAAGAAAATTAATAAAAAGGGAAGAAAATTATGAAGAAAAAGAAAGTTGGTTTAAAAAAGAAAAGAAAAGCCCCAGATGGGCCATGAGGAGGGGCTAGGTCGGTGCTAGTGGTGGGATTGGATGGAACATATAGAGCATGGACTGGCTGGCTCTCTATACGGAATAAAAAGGAAAAGCGATATCACAGAGAGAGAGAGAGAGAGAGAGAGAGAGATGTTTGGATTGGGAGGTTGGTGATGGTAAAAACTTGCTAGTAGTAGCGGAGGTGAAGTAGAAGTGGTTTCCTTTTCTCTTTCCTCATCGCAGTTTCTACTTGTTGTTGTGAGTGTGACCTTGTTGACGACGGAAAGGAAAATGAAGAGAAATTGAAGAGGAAGGACAAACAAGGACTCATCATAATCACTCAAGGGAAAAGCGTCATCATTTCCACTCGAAGAGAAACAAAACAAACAACAATGACCAAGACTATTTGCCTTTTTATTTCTTGAAATTTTAATAAGAAGAAAAGTATGAGACTTTTCCCATTGTATTCTATTCTTTTGGGGTTGGAGAGTTCTCAGAGACAAAGACGACAACTCGGGTCGGGAGTTTGCGGCTGTGGGACCCACCTTCAACCCCCCCTCTAAAACCTAGTTTAGTTTAGTTTAGTTTAGTTTAGTTTAGTTTGTTGGCGTCAACTATACTTACGGTATGACGCCAACGCGGAACCAACACGGGAACACGAGGCCTTTCCTTTGGAGTTTGGACTCTCGGATTCTTCTTTTGTCACGAATTTTGAGTCTCGAATGTTCTTGTCACTTTCTCAATAAAATTAAAATAAAATAAAATCATAACTTAGTTCAATTTTCTTTTGTCACTTTTATCAACTTTAATGTAATGAAAATTACCTACATATATTAACCCAAAATTCATTCACTTCCTTGTTCAAAGGGAAACGGTGTTTCACTACATATGTGGCTTCTTATGCATTGTGATTAGGGTTGGGCAGCCGAACCGAATTGCACTTAGATGGCAAATGAATTTTGTCGAGACCACTTCAACCGAAAGAGTCAGTTCATCAAGAAATCGGCTCAATTTTGTCGATTTCACCGAGAAACCAAAGATAAAGAACAAGGAAGAAAGAGAGAGCAAGCATGAGACGAATATGGAGGAGAGAGAAGATGTGAGCTCTTAAATATATTTTCTTATACAATAATAACACAATTAAACTTCTTAATAAAGTGCTATGGCGTTGGCATTATAAGATAGAGGTGAGGGGCTTGAGTCCTCATGCGTCTAACTTCTACTAATATTTAGCATTTTAAAAGCATCAATTTGGTTCAGGTGAACCGGTGATCGGATATTTATGAATTGCGAACTCAAGGCCGATTCGGTTACAAATTTATTTTATAAAAATCTAATCAAAACAAGCTGATTGGTTTTGGTTGGCTTGCTAATATTTAGCATTTTAAAAGCATTAGTTTGATTAAGATGAACTAGTGGTTTGGATATTTGCGAACAACGAATCATGAGCCAATTCGGTTTAGTTTCCCACTAAAAGTTTTGTAAAAAATCAAATCAAATCAAATCAAGCTGATCAATTTGGTTTGGTCAATTTTTCGATTCAATTGCACAACCCTATTGCGACTTTGAATGACTAAAAAGTGATGAAAGTTCAATTTTAAAGTGAAACGGTACAATCTTTAGTTTTTTAAACCTTTTGTGCTTCTTGTTGTTGGTAGACTAGTCTATATTTGAATTAATCATTTTACGGTTAATGTGGTTATGTATATGCATTATCGCCTTTCTTTCCAAAAAAAATAATAAAGACAATAAGAATTCCACATCTATATAAAGGCGGGAGATTCTTCATTACAGAGTATCAAAATGCGAACTTGTTACAGAGTTTCGTTTTTAATCGACTGATTATTTCTATGGTGCTGATTTAAAAAAACATTCTGTCTCACACTCTCCGTCTCCCTCCTCCCTCTCTTCCTCCATTCTCATTTCTTCCCCCATCTGTGTTGCTGAAATTTTCCTTCCTTTTATATTAATTTTTTTCCTTCCATCTCCCTCCCTTCTCTCGCACTCTCCGTCTCCTTCCTCCCTTTCTTCCTCCATTCTCATTTCTTCTCCCATCTGTGTGGCTGAAGTTTTCTTCTTTTTTTTTCTCCGTATATCTCCTCTCTTCTCCCATTTCTTGCGGTAGCTCCTCCTCTGTCTCTCCCTCTGATTTCCCTTCTCTTTGTCCTTCCCTATTCTCCTCTCCTCTCCACAGTTGTTTGCTTTCTTCTGGGATTGGAGAGTTTGTTGGGGGTTGGATTTTGACTGTGGGGCTTTGGGTGTTTCTGGTGGGGAGCATTTGGGTTGCTATATTTTCCTTCTTATTCCTTCCTCTTCCATTCCACCATTTTGGGTTGTTGCTCTGGTTCTTTCGTTTGGACGTTTCTCCCCCGCCCC